TCCTTTATCGGCTACACTCACCTTCTCCACCCTCATCCCTTTCAGGGCCTCCATATGCTTGGCCAGATCCTCTCTTATCTCCCCCCAAGTCCATGATCTCTGCTCCTCCACCTGTGTCCAGGGTGTCTGCTGCTCCTGGGCACGCTGCTTGGTCCGTTGGTGGTGGGATCTTCTGTCACGATCGTTGAGAGACGGGTCAGACCAAGGTGTAGCGTGGTATGCGTACATGTTTATTAGTGAAGAGAAACACTTGACAAAACAACAAAAGCAATGAAACCGTGAAGCCCTATGGGCTATACACGAAACAAGCCAAACAGGAACACAAACAAGAACCCACAACCCAGGCAGGAAATCTGGCTGCCTAAGTATGATCCCCAATCAGAGACAACGAGCGACAGCTGCCTCTGATTGGGAACCACACCCGGCCAAACATAGAAATACAATACATAGAGTTTCACACCCTGACCAAAATACCTAGAGAATAACAGTCTCTCCGGGTCAGGGCGTGACACACACCCAAATACCTCTCTGCAGCTGCCACCACAAGCTCTATTTTCTGTGACTTACGTTCCATCCCTGCAGTACAGTTGATAACCATTGCTATAAATTCCAAAAATCCAATCTTACTGAAACATATATCACTTTTTGGCCTATCCCTCTGTACTGGTACAGATCTACTACTCACACCACTCCTCTCAGGATCCCTCCCCCTTGACCCATCTTCCTCTACTTTCTTCACTGCCTCAGCATATGACAACTTCTGCATTACTCTAACCCTGTAAACCCAACCTGCCTCTCTCGCACGGGACATTTCTGATCCCCAGCCCCATGGGCACCCCTACAATTAACACATACCACTACTTCCCCAATGCTACACATTCCTTTGTCTCATGCCTTTCTGCACACTTCTCACACCTAGGAACCTCCCTCCTACACACTGCTGCCACACGCCCATAAGCTTGACACCTGTAACAACGTAATGTATTCGGCACAAAAGTTCATACAGGAAAACTTATATATCCTAACATCACTTTGTCAGGCAAAAGAACAGAAAATGACGTTTCACCACTCACACCACCCTGTCTGCGTCACACCAAACGACGAGCATCACAAACACCGGGAATCTTCCCCTTCAGTTAGTCAACTTTTACATTTCCTGCTACCCCAGTAATCACTCCTTTCAATGGCGCCCTTTTCTTCAAAACAATTCACATCTCTTTCCCCCATCCGTTTAATGCGGAGTGCCTGCACCCTCTGACGAGCAGAAACACAAACAATTATCACAAGACCACTTCTGGTTACCCTCACCAATTCCACAGCACCCAACTCTGTTTTCACCCGCCCTGAAACCACTAATTGATCAGCCAAAAGACAAGGTTCCACTTTTTCCAAAAAACTTAACTCATACTGTCACAGAATCGTCTTTATCCTGACCCTCGGTGCAATCCTCGGGCTCCAAGAACTTCACCACACCTACCACCAATACTTCGCCCTCATTCACTTCCATTTCTCCTCCTGTCTTCAGCTCACTCTGTTTACACTTTCTACCATTCTTCTTTAACAAACCATCTCCCTTTTTCCCGCCATTTTTAACCGACTCAATCTCACCCTCTTCCCCCCTCACTCTCTTAGACCTCCTCTGCCTCTCTTTTTCCAACCATCCATTCCTCCTCCGTATTCCAAGTATACGTCTCCTTATGATAATACTGCACTTCTCCTGACATACATCTTGTTCTTGCCTTCTCAAGGGACACAATTTAACCGGCTGTCACAATCTCCGTACAATCAGCACCAACCCCTCGGGATGTAGAGCTCAACAGTGCATCCCACAGAGCGCGTCTTGATGTTCTTCTTTATTGATAGGTACCGTGACACTTTTCCATTTCAAATAAGCAAGCTCTTCTAACCACCATCCACCGTCACTCGTTACGCTCTGTGTCGCCCGGTACTCTCTCCCATCTCTAGCTACCAAGTTTTAGCCGATATACCTACCTCCTTATTTAGCTACTGAAATTAAAATAAAATGACTGCATACATTATGTTAATTGCTTAAAAGCTTTATGGGATAATATAATAGCCATATTTTCAGGGTCAAATTCAGGTGCAATAATTCAGGAATAATTATTGAAGGATTTTTTTTTTTACTTTTTTTTTATTAATGCGATAAAAATTGGGTTTTGTCAATCCTGGTGAATTGTAGTAGGGTATTGAAATGAAAGACATAGGCCTACGTGTTATTTGTTCACTTCTGATATTTTTTTTTGTTATAATAGAACATCAAAACAGCATTCAGTAGAACAGAAGAAAATGTGCAGCACAATAAACAGTGCGATTAGCTAACACAGACAACAGATTACCATTAGAAACCAACACACACAGCAAGTGACCAGACCTCATTAACCTCTACGGGATCGGTGTCCCTTATACGGGACGGTTGTTGCTCAATATGCGATATGTGACAAGAATGGTGTTGTAAACAACAGCCAACTTTCCAGGACATCGACATGTCTTATATGGGCAGAAAGCTTAAATTCTTGTTAATCTAACTGCAGTGTCCAATTTACAGTAGCTATTACAGCTAAAAAGTACCATGCTATTGTTTGAGGATAGTGCACAACAACAAAACACTTTTATCACGGCAACTGGTACCAAACCAGTAATCTTGCTCTGATTTGTCATCCTGAGGGACCCAGAGATAAAATGTAGTGTAGTTTTGTTTGAAAAATCAATTTTTATATTCAAATGTATGAACTAGGTTCTACAGTTTGACCTCTGAATCCACACCCACCCCGCCCGGCCATCTAGATGTGTGAAGGTTAGTGTCTTTTCTGTAGGGAAGCTAATAATCCATCATTTATGACATTCCTGGGAGTGTGCAAACTTAAATATTGTATTACCATAGCATTTTTGTATGTTCTCTATAGTTATATACTTAAAACCAATTCGGCACATTTGGGAAAACTCCTAGCAGACTTGATACAAAATATTGTGTAGTGATAGTCACTTTAACTCTACCCACATGTACATATTACCTCAACTACCTCAACTAGCCGGTGCCCCCGCACATTGACTCTGCAACGGTACCCCCCTGTATATATAGCCTCCCTACTGTCACTTTATTTTACTTCTGCTCTTTTTTTTCTCAACACTTTTTTTTGTTGTTGTTGTTTTATTTTTTACTTTTTTTGTTTAAAATAAATGCACTGTTGGTTAAGGGCTGTAAGTAAGCATTTCACTGTAATGTCTGCACCTATTGTATTCGGCGCATGTGACCAATACAATTTGATTTGATTTGATTTGATGTAATTCTTCACTGGATCAGTCTGAAACATTGCACACACACTGCTGCCATCTGGTGGACAACATCTAAATTACATCTAGAATTCTACATCACTTTCTGGCCTTTCTCTTGCATTTCAAAAATGATGCAACAACAAAAAAATAGAAAACACATGTTTTTTTGTTTGTATTATCTTTTACCAGATCTAATGTGTTATATTCTCCTACATTAATTTCAAATTTCCACAAACTTCAAAGTGTTTCCATTCAAATTATATCAAGAATATGCATATCCTTGCTTCAGGTGCTGAGCTACAGGCGAAAATTACATACCGAAATCTAGCTGCCTGTAGCAAGGACAGTATGAGTGCATACATTTCCACACTTACTGAGCCACATGGGAAGTGTGGAAGTGAATGTGCACTTTTCAATTGGATGGACTGCAACTACGAAAAACACTGCCACCGCCTGTAGTAAAAGCAAAAGCATTTATAGCATTGGAGATTCTCTAAATTAGAAACCATCTCTGATAGCTATAGGACCGCAGAGACTGTCACAGATTTGAGCTTTTAATGACCTAGCAAATTCGATGACTTGGAGGTGAAATAGATCCCATGTATTGTTTTTTTAAAATTGGTCTTTCATCATCTGCCGAATGGCCCTAATACTGAAAAGGTTAATCGGGCCGGATAAACTGAAGAGGACTCGACCCGAGTACCAGTAGCCGGAGCCCAGAGTAATATGATTCTGCCGGACTCGGGAGGAGCTCGGCCCGCATAAAGTCAGAGTCGAGTCCTCCAAGTCTCAAATGAAATAGGCCCGAGCCCAGCATGTTGCAGTATACCACGAGACCCTAACCCGCTTTGGTGCGCTCTGCCAGCTGGTTGTTTGCCAAGTGTGCTAAGCTGAATCATGCAAACTCTGCTGAAAAATAACATTACTCCAATTTCTATCATTGTAATGGTTCTAGTGTCTTATATGCAATGGGTGCATGGCCCACAAACACTATGCACATGTTTATTTAGATTGGTGTCAATTAATTTAGTAGCATTTAGATAACTGGTCAATAGTTCAATCAGATTTAAACCAAAAAACTGATATCAACGAAAATAAGACGTATTTTTCATGACATCAAAGATACAATTAAAAAGATGTCAATCTGTCAATAAGACGTCCCGACCAGATTTCAACCAGTAAAATACATAGTTATGACCTCTTATGGCCACTGCGAGAGAGGATTAGTTTTAGTAAGGTTGGATTTCTTGCGTGTATAGCCATGGTGATCAACTGAACTGCACTGATGGAGCGGAAATCACAGAAAATAGGTGTGGTAGTTGCAGCAGCAGAAACATATTTGGGTGTGCGAGATTTTAGTGCATAAGATCTACAGGAAGTTTTGAGAGATGGGGTTCCATCCTCCCAGGCCGAAGGCCTGGTGTTGGATCATTTAGGGCCAAAGTAGTGCGATGGAGTGGTGGGTTTTGGGGATAGTGTATACGTAAGGTGCAGGGTTAGATGTTGGTGCAATTTTAAAAAATGTCCCTTCCCCTTGTGACCAAAATGTGCAATCCGCACTCCGACCTGCGAAAGGCAGCAATGTGCAACACAGCGTCTAGTCTGCCGGAAATGCACACGAAGAAGATTATATTATTTGTTTATAACCAGGCTGCTCGGGTTTTCTCCAACAGGGCAGGCCAATAACTTTTCTGCTATTTGTCAAAATGGGATGTGATGGTGGAACTATTCCTAAAAGGCATGAGTTGGTAAAAGGCCCAAAGAAAGTTGAGAAGGTATGTAGTGTTATAGCTAGCTAGCCTTAACGTAGCAGGCGTAAAATAAACGAGCTAACTGTCTGTCCAACACGCGTTAGCTTGTTAGTATTTTATTTGCTAACGGGTGTTTACACGTTTAGCTAACTAACTGGCTTAGCTAGCTAACGTTCGGGGTGTTTTGTTAAAATCAGGGAAGCGTGAGTCCACCCAAACTGAACTAATGTTAGATACATTACATTTATACATTTAGCTAGCTAGCTAGCTTTCGTTTATTAACTAGCTAACGTTAGCTCGTTAATACGCCGTGCTCACACAATCAGCTAATAGGTAGCATTTCATGTCAGATAGCCTCCGAGTCTCAGCAATAACAAACCATCAACATAAAACATAGCTGAGATGCTTTGGCACGTAGCTAACATGTACCCCATTCATAAACGCGAACTGCTTTAGCTTTAGCGCCTATTGACGTCGTCAATGACGATGATATATTCTGACCGAGGGAATTTAGTTAAGAGCCCCAACGCTTGCTCTAAACCAGGGTTCTTCAATTCCGGTCCTGGAGGGCCGAAACACCTGTTTTTCATCCTCTCCTTCTAATCAGGGGCTAATTTAGACCTGGGACACCAGGTGAGTGCAATTAACTACCAGGTAGAGAAATAAAAAACAGAAGTGTTTCGGCCTTCCAGGACCGGAATTGAAGAACCCTGCTCTAAACGTTAACACGCATAGTTGAGGTCCGTGGAAACAGAAGGAACGGAGCAACCTTTCATATCAGAGAGAAATCATTTTCAAAAAACTTAAGGTTAAATTACTACACACCATTTATATAGGGTTAGTGTTCCCACACGGCAATATCTCCATGTTACAGCGCTTTGTAACGGAAAACAGACGATACAGAGTGGACTAGCTAGCTACCTTTGCTAATTAGCGATGTGAGTCTCCGAACAACCTTTTTTTTTTTCTTTCGGTTACTGGCACTACGCTCTTAACCACTTAAGCTACCTGCCGCTTTTACCTGTGTGTAAAAGGAAGACTGACGCCAAAGGTGTTGTCACTGAAAAATACTGTCAGCTGCAACTGTGTTTAAACCAGGTGTTGGAACCGGTTCTGGGAACAGAACCAGAAAATAACGACAATTTTTGAAGATCAGAAACGGGAGTGAAAGTGATCTACACTGTTCCGGAACAAAGACCCGTTATTTTAAAAGCATGGGGACCGGTTAATAACATTATTTTACAATTGGGGCATTTTTTCACAAAAAACGCAACAAGGCGTCTATGTCAAAGCCCTCACTCTGTCACGCAGAAATGTATTCCAGTGTATGCCTGTCTGTCAGTCTTTGCTAGTGTGTGTGTGTGTGTGTGTGTGTGATGTGTGTAGGCAGCGTGATTTATGTTTCTAGAACCGAAACAGAACATGTAAGGTTCTTGGACTAAGGAGTAACGTTAGGCTCTTTTAGGCCATTATTGGGCTAGCTAACAAGGAGCTTTATGGCACAGGTGGTAGCTAACGTTAGTGCAGTGGACCTGCATCTCAATCACAGAGTTGCTGCATGGCTGTTCCCCCTCTATCACTACTCTTGCAAGCGAAGTATTTCAGATATAACCAAATGCAACGGAACAGTTCGGTGGGCAGAAGCTAAATTGAATGTGTAAATCTTTCTTCACTACAGGTTGACAAAAATGCAGCGCTTGCTGCCCAGTGGAAGTACTGTGCTCTCAGTACAGAGAAACTCAGGCGCCCTATTGTTGCTTGTGATCTGGGAAGGTGAGAACTCTTTTCATCAGTTTGTTGTTGTGAACTAGTCATATAGTATGACACCATTATGTATCTAGCTATCTACAATCTTTTGTGTTGGCATTATCATTCTCTTAGCTGGCCCTATTGAATCATTTGATATCATCTAGCATATTATTAAAATTGCGTGCAGCATTAAATGGAGCCGAATACTAGTAGTGAGGTATAAGTTACTTTTAGATACTTCTATCACACATGGATTCTGTAATCGAAATGCTATTCTTTCTTACAGACTTTATAACAAAGATGCCGTGATTGAGTACCTTCTGGATAAATCTGCCGATAGACCCAACAGCGAGGTTGTATCACACCTTCGTGGCATTAAGGTATGGTAATTCTCCATGATTTCAGCTGAGGCCACATATCATTGCATTATCTAAAGTGACTCAAAGTTGTGTGTGTCATTCCACAGGATATAAAGGAGCTGAACCTGACTGACAACCCAGCCTGGGAGGGCGAGAGGAGGAACACCAAAGGGGACCGCTATGAGGACATGCACTGTGCCATGTTCATCTGTCCTGTGGTGGGCCTGGAGATGAATGGCAAACATAGGTACGGGGTGTGTGTGCGTGCATGTCATTCCACATGGATCTCTTCATCACTAATGTGTGAGGGACCTACCTGAATTTGAAAGGCTTGTTTCCTTTGCTAAATGTGCACTAATGAATATGGCCCTATATATATGCATCTCATCAATGTCTCGGCATCTTATTAATGCCTTTCAATGACAAGCGTAGAGTGTTGCATTTAGACCCGGCAGTATCATCTCACAATGTCTGCATCATGCTGAGTTCTGGCACTGAATCATGTGCATTAGCCTATAGCCTGAGTGCCAGCATGTTTGTGCTATAATTTTAACTCCCTTTCACAAACAGATCTGGGACCAGGGTATGTGCAGTAGGCCTCAGTGATAAACTATAGCGATGAGATTCTGAGTGTTGATGTGAGCCACTACAGTATTTGTGCATTGCCCCAATGTTAGTTGTTGTTGTCCAGTGCAGCCTTTTTTTTTTTTATCTCAATATTTAAATCCATTTCTTGATAACAATTTAAGAACCTTACTGTAAATGTTTTCAATTAAAATGGTCAAAAAGAAACAAAAGTAGCTTGTTAGAAAATATACATTTCTCAAGCAATAATTTTACTAGGACTGTCTGGGGGTGGTCTGAGTGGGGAGGGGGAAAATGTAAACGAGCTGTTATTGGCTGAGAGGTTTGGAACTCTCTTATTGGTCTGTTAACTCATTCAAGTTTCAAGTACTGTGCACAAGTACAGTGAAATGCTTTTCTTGCAAGCTCTTTTCCAACAATGCAGTAATCAATATCTATAGTACTATAAAGTAATGTAGAAAAAAAAACACACAAGAAATAGAAATAAGAAGAACACGAGAAAGTAAGTAAGCTATATACAGGTCAGTGCCAATACCATATTTATAGTGTGCCGGGATACTGGAGATGCACAAAATGACCAAAATTATGTGGACACCTGCTCGTCAAACATTTAATTCCAAAATCATGGGCATTAATATGGAGTTGGTCCCCCCCCCCCCTTGCTGCTATAACAGCCTCCACTCTTCTGGGAAGGCTTTCCACTAGATGTTGGAAGATTGCTACGGGGACTTGCTTCCATTCAGCCACAAGAACATTAGTGAGGTTGGGCACTGATGTTGGGCGATTAGGCCAGTCAAGTTCTTACACATTGATCTTGAAAAAACAATTCTGTATGGACCTCGCTTTATGCACGGAGGCATTGTCATGCTGAAACAGGAAAGGGCCTTCCCCAAACTGTTGCCACAAAGTTGGAAGCACAGAATGGTCTAGACTGTCATTGTATGCTGTAGCGTTAAGATTTCCCTTCACTGGAACTGAGGGGCCTAACCCGAACCGTGAAAAACAGCCCCAGACCATTATTCCTCATCCACCAAACTTTACAGTTGTCCACTATGCATTCGGGCAGGTAGCGTTCACCTGGCATCCTCCAAACCCAGATTTGTCCGTCGGACTGCCAGATGGTGAAGCGTGATCACTCCAGAGAACGCGTTTCCACTGCTCTAGATTCCAATGGCGGCGAGCTTTACACCACTCCAGCCGACGCTTGGCATTGCACATGGTGATCTTAGGCTAGTGTGTGGCTGCTTGGCAATGGAAACCCATTTCATGAAGCTCCCGACGAACAGTTCTTGTGCTGACGTTGCTTCTAGAGGCAGTTTGGAACTCGGTAGTGAGTGTTGCAACCAAGGACAGACGATTGTTACGCGCGTCATTACTTGGCGGTCCCGTTCTGTGAGCTTGTGTGGCCTACCACTTCTCGTTGTTGCTCCTAGACGTTTCCACTTCACAATAACAGCACTTACAGTTGACCGGGGCAGCTCTAGCAGGGCAGACATTTGACAAACAGACTTAATGGAAAGGTGGCATCCTATGACGGTGCCACGTTGAAAGTCACTGAGCTCTTCAGTAAGGCCATTCTACTGCCAATGTTTGTCTAGAGATTGCATGGCTGTGTGCTCGATTTTATACACCTGTCAGCAACGGGTGTGGCACATACATTTACATCTAAGTAATTTAGCAGACGCTCTTATCCAGAGCGACTTACAAATTGGTGCATTCACCTTAGGATAGCCAGTGGGACAACCACCCTTTTTTTTTTTTTTAAAAAAAAATTCGGGGGGTAGAAGGATTACTGTTTATGTATAGGGGTAAGGTGACTAGGCATCAGGATGTATGATAAACGGAGTGGCAGCAGAGTATATGATGATTGTGTGTGTGTGTAGAGCAGGGGTGCCGAACTAATTTTGCTCCGGGGGCCGGATTCGGGTCTTCAGCGAGATCTGGAGTGCCGCACTGAAAATGTGTTATATTTCCTTAATGTCAAAATGTGCTAAAAATAGACCTCTATCCATTGTTTTTGGGAATTTCCGATGCTCCCTGACTGTCTAGTGATTATTAGCAAGCTGGACAGTCATGAAATGCTATGAATGTATGTCCATTGATTGTGTGCAGTGATTATTAACGAGCTGGACAGTCAAGAAACTGTGTGTATATATACAGTAGGTCTATTATAATTTCTACACAGTTTGGTTTGGTTTTAGTTAGGGTTGGGCAGTATCCAGATTTTCATATCCTCATACCGTCCCTTCTCTCACACCGGGATTTATGGTATTACCGACTTAGTAAACAAGGGGGCCGCCAAAAACGCAACAAATCCCATTGGCCATCTATTACCAGAATACAAATAATGGCGATTTCCAACGAATTGCAACGACAGCCAATCCAGCTGATAAAGATAGTCGGAAGTTTACATACACTTAGGTTGGAGTCATTAAAACTCGTTTTTCAACCACTCCACGAATGTATTGTTAACAAACTATAGTTTTGGCAAGTCGGATAGGACATCTACTTTGTGCATGACACAAGTAATTTTTCCAACAATTGTTTACAGACAGATTATTTCACTTATAATTCACTGTATCACAATTCCAGTGGGTCAGAAATTTACATACACTAAGTTGACTGTGCCTTTTAAATGGCTTGGAAAATTCCAGAAAATGATGTCATGGCTTTAGAAGCTTCTGATAGGCTAATTGACATAATTTTGAGTCAATTGGAGGTGTACCTGTGGATGTATTTCAAGGCCTACCTTCAAACTCAGTGCCTCTTTGCTAGACAAAATGGGAAAATCAAAAGAAATCAGCCAAGACCTCCAGAAAAAAATGTGTGGACCTTCACATGTCTGGTTCATTCTAGGGAGCAATTTCCAAATGCCTGAAGGTACTACGTTCATCTGTACAAACAATAGTACGCAAGTGTAAACACCATGGGACCACACAGCCATCATACCGCTCAGGAAGGAGACGCGTTCTGTCTCCTAGAGATGAGCGTACTTTGGTGCGAAAAGTGCAAATCAATCCCATAACAACAGCAAAGGACCCTGTGAAGATGCTGGAGGAAACAGGTACAAAAGTATCTATATCCACAGTAAAACGAGTCCTATATCGACATAACCTGAAAGGCCGCTCAGCAAGGAAGAAGCCACTGCTCCAAATCCTCCATAAAAAAAGCCAGACTACGGTTTGCAACTGCACATGGGGACAAAGATCTTACTTTTTGGAGAAATGTCCTCTAGTCTGATGAACTGTTTGGCCATAATGACCATCGTTATGTTTAGAGGAAAAAGGGGGTGCTTGCAAGCCGAAGAACACCATCCGTACCGTGAAGCACGGGGGTGGCAGCATCATGCTGCGGGGGTGCTTTGCTGCAGGAGGGACTGGTGCACTTCACAAAATAGATGGCATCATGAGGAAGGAAAATTATGTGGATATATTGAAGCAACATCTCAAGACATCAGTCAGGAGGTTAAAGCTTGGTTGCAAATGGGTCTTCCAAATGGACAATGACCCCAAACATACTTCCAAAGTTGTGGCAAAATGCCTTAAGGACAACAAAGTCAATGTATTGGAGTGGCCATCACAAAACCCTGACCTCAATCCTATAGAAAATGTGTGGGCAGAACTGAAAAAGCGTGTGCGAGCAAGGAGGCCTACAAACCTGACTCAGTTACACCAGCTCTGTCAGGAGGAATGGGCCAAAATTCACCCAACTTATTGTGGGAAGCTTGTGGAAGGCTACCCAACATGTTTGACCCAAACAATTTAAAGGCAATGCTACCAAATACTAATTGAGTGTATGTAAACTTCTGACCCACTGGGAATGTGATGAAATAAATAAAAGCTGAAATAAATAAAAGCTGAAATTAAATAATTCTCTCTACTATTATTCTGACATTTCACATTCTTAAAATAAAGTGGTGATCCTAACTGACCTAAGACATGGAATTTTTACTGGGATTAAATGTCAGGAATTGTGAAAAACTGAGTTTAAATGTATTTGGCTAAGGTGTATGTAAACTTCCGACTTCAACTGTATATCGCCTAGCCCTAAGTCTAGGGTGTCTGGGATGAAGAGTTGATGTAGGTGGTAGAAGGGTCTGCATTTGATCATCAGGTATTCCAAGACGGGTGAACAATGGTTAGAGACTTCCACTACGCTGGAGTTAACACACCATTCTCTGTTGATATAGAGTCAAACCCCTCCTCGATTTCCCTGAATCCAATGTCCTGTCTGCTCGGTGAATGGAGAATCCATTGAGTTGGATAGCCATGTTTCAGTAAAGCAGAGAATACTGCAGTTACGAGAGTCCCGTTGATGGCAAATCTGCGATCAGAGGTCACCCATCTTATTATCAAGTGACTGGCCAATAGAATGGAGGGAAGAGGTGGCCGGTTTTCCCTTTGCCTTAATCTCACCAGGACTCCCCCTCACCTGCCTCTTTTTCGCTGGCATTTCCTCTTGTGTAGCTCGACAATTGGGAGCCCAGAATTGAAGCCGGAATTGAGGTTAATAACTGCCGATCTGATGTTCAAAAGTTCTTGTCGATCATAAGAAATGATAGGGGATACATTTCATGCTAAAAAAGTAAAGATAAACACCAAAATAATCACAAAATAGCGAAGTTGGGTCGAAGCTCGCAAGATGGCAGCCATCTTCATTTACCGCTACA